CGTAACGCAGGCCTACAACTTTAGCAATCCAGATGTACAAGCTAGGCAGTGGTGGCACACATCTTTGAATACAGCACTCGTGAAGCAGTGGCAGACAGATCTCTGAGTTAAAGGCCAGCCTGGTCTACAGAGTGAGTGCCAGGACTACACAGAGAAACCTTGTCAAAAAAAAAAAAAAAAAAAAAAAAAAAAAAAAAAAAAAAAAACAGAAAGAAAATCCAGACATGCAGAAGGCTTTAAGAGATCCAACCCACTTTGCCTCATATCTGTATGCCCTTTAACCAAAATGAACGGCTATTTCACTCTTTCAGGGATTTCCAGTTTAAATTCTCCCAATGTTCATCTTTAAGTTACCAGATAATAGACTCGTGGTGCTACTTCTTCGTATGTTAATTTTGGGAGCCTTCTCCTGTTGTCCACAGAACAGAACAGGCTTCCTGCTGCATAGGAGGGAAGGAGAGATGGCTGTCCTAACTGCCCACATCAACACGAGCTCTCCCACCTTGTAGCCATGTGTCAATGTCTGTCAATCCAAAGCCTTTCTTCAGTCACCCTAACCACAGACAGAGCTTTCTGGCCCCTGGGGTCTAGTTTCAGAATCCCCACACATTGACCAGGTCATAAGGAGGGGCCCTCACTGGAACATCTCCATAGTATTCTGTGTTCCGCCAGCCAGTGCACACTCTCCACCTCACATGCATCAATCATTCCTCATTCTTAGGCCTGTCTTCCTTAGCTTCCATCAGCCGGGGGAAAAAAAAAAGTCATCTCTCTTCATCCAGGTTATGGTGAAAGCTCCAAGTCATACCTGGTTCGTGCTATGTATTCCACATACAAGATAAAAATAAAGTAAAATAAATGTGATTTTTCAAGACTAAGGTTTAGTGCAAGAACATAGGTGAAGCTCAGGTATTCATGCCCTAGCTGATGCCATGGAAATGGGTCATTTAGGGTAGAGGGATGAACAACTGTAACAGGGCTGGCTATTGAACAATGGGCACATGGATGCCTCTCTGTGAGCCTTGCCTGTGCTGCCCACTGGCTAGATGGCCATTGGCAAGTCAGTTAATGACTCCAAGCCCGGCTTCACTTAGGTAATGTGGGTACAATGTTCCCTAAGTCACGGGAGCTCCACCAGGAACAAATAAGTCACAGGAGTTCTGGGAAGAGCCAGCTGCAGCCCCTGGTTCAGCAAAGGAGGAAGGTAAGGGGGGAATAAGGAGAAATCGATTGGCAGCTGGACCCTGAGCCCAGGACTATGGCAGAAGCCCAACGATAATCCCCCCCAGGGGGGGATAAACAGAGTCCAGTCTCATGGGAAGTTCAAGTGCAGCTGAATTGGCAGAGATTACATCCTGAAGCCAAGAGAGAGAGCAGCTAGGAGAGCAGAGGGAGCAGATAAACAGAATAACAGGGAAGAGAGAGAGAGATCACAAGAGGAACTCCACCAGCCAGGGCACTCAGGCTGCAAATAGATTGTCCTATTAACACCATTTGCAGAGCAGACATTTAACTAACAGAAGAAGTCTGGAAGGTGGTGCTTCCAAAATTATCCCCGTGGCTCACCAGTGGCCCCAAGAACCCAGGATTTTTCCATCCTTTCTCTACCAAATCCTAAGCAATTAGTTTTCTCCCACTCAGAGTTGCAATCCAGCTGCTGCAGCACCAAACGCCACAATTTCCATGTCTCTACAGTGGAAAGGGAGAGAGGGAGGGAAAGAGGGAGGAAAGGAAGGGAGGAAGAGCATAGTTCCTTTTCTCAGGGAATTAATCTTTCTCAGGAGCCTCCTCTCAGATATTGCTGTTTCATTGCCCATGTCTAATACCAATGAAGCCAGGACACAAGAACAGACTCTAAAACAGGAGGAAGTCAAGAAAAAAAGGGTTGACTATAGCCAGACTGGGTGTGTGACCAGCACCATCTGCCAGGCTATTTGGATATGAAATGTGGGAACCATCACACTGAAGATGATACAGTAGAAAGAGGGGTGTGGGACCCTAAAGGAGACAGAAAGGGCCTGTGCTGGAGGGGAGAAGCACTTGTCTCTTTCTCTACTGTGAGCAAGAAGGGAAGTCTAGAAACAGATTCTGAAAACCAGCTTGTGCTGCTTAGAAGACCAGTAAGCTCCTTTCACAGCTCTCTCCCCAGATCAAGGAAACAGATTCTGAAAAGAGAAAGCAGTGACTTTTCACCTCAGCAAAGCCAGACATGAGATCAGCCGTGGTGGTTCACACCTGTAATCAGGAAGAAAACAGGTCAGCCAACCTGGGCTATAGAGGGAGATCCTGTCTCAACAAAACACAATAAAACTAAACCAAAACCCAAAAGATGGCTGCTTCAGGAAGCACAATGAGCCACATCCTCTGTATCAACAATTCAAAGGACACACAAGGCAGACACTAGGAACCAACAGGGACATTTTTGTTCCATTGGCTGATGGGAGCATCAGCTGCCTCAGCCATTTTGGAAAACAAGCCATAGCCCAAATTCCCCTTCTAGATTCACAACCCTGCATACACTGTCCCCGTTATAGGCAGGAATATTCACTGAGACACCCTGTAAAAAATTAATAAAGCTGGAAACAGCCAGAATATCTTGAGACTGGAGTGTGAATAGTAAAGTCACTGGGGAATGATCACGGCATAGCGGTTGCAACACGTATTACATTAATTCCAGAAGACACCGTTCAGAAAAGGCAAATTGTGGCAGAGCTTATCTGGCATGGTTATTTATATAAAGTTTCCCAACATGCAAAAGTTGAAACAACACACTACTTAGAAAAAAATTAGCATGAATGTAGAACTACCAAATAGAGGGAAACCACACACATGCACCCCAAATTCAAGCTTGGGGACATGCTATGGAATAATCTTTTTGTACACTATGAAGATGTGTCTTTGATAAGGCACCTGATTGTTTTAATAAAAAGAGATGATTGGCCAGTACTTAGCCAGGAGCTATAGGCAGGACAGCAAGACACAGAGGATGCTGGAAAGGAGGGCGGAGTCTCAGGAGTCTCAAGAGACACAGAGAGAAGCATGATAAACGTGCCATGTTGAAAGAAGGTTCAGACATGTGGGAGAGGGTAGATAAAAAATATGGGTTGATTTAAAATGGAAGAGTTAACCAGTAACCAGCCTGAGCCATTTAGCAAGCATTTATAATTAATAATAACTCTCTGAGTGGTTATCTGGGAGCCACTGCCAAAACACAGAGAAACTCCGCCTACAGGGACAAGCATATTAGGGACTCCAGATAGGGAGGGAACCTTTTGCCTTTAAGCTGAGCATAGACGCACAGGCTTTTGTTACATTCTTATTCCTTATAGATTGCATAGCCCAGACATATTCTTTGCACTCATGGAAAAATTAATTACAATAATTAAAAGTAAGAACATAGAACATAGGATGAGGGTGGGGGCAGCCTATTTTGAGGGCATAAATGTTATCCACTGCACCACAATCTGCAGAGCCTAGCAGCTACAGGACCAGGCCAGACCAGTTCTGCTGGTGTAAGGTAGACTGAGTGAGTTCCACATTTGGGGGAAGGAGAAATGGAGGATAGAAACAGCGCCAGGGTGTCTACATACTTCTCCTTGGGGAGTTAGAGGTGAGAATAAGGAAAAAGACCCTGAATCCCTTCCTAGAGGCCTTGCCCTGAGCCAGGCTTGGTCATTTTGGTAGCTCTCACTCAAGTTTCCTGCTTAGTTCAGAAATGGGCACTGATTACCTCCATTCCAACAGAGAGAAGGCTAGAGCTGAACCAAACAGGCTGCTCATGTCTCAGGCAGTGAACCCCCAACATCAACTCAATTGCAATCACCTTCACCCATCGCACCAAATAAACTACCACCCAGGGCTTTGTACATCCTTCCTCTATCCCAGAAACCCCAGATCTTTTCCTGAAGTGTCTTGCCTGCTTCCAAGTCTCAGCTTTAATGTCATTCTGGGAGGCCTTTCTTGGCCACTCTACTTCACTGAGGGCACTTTGTTGCTCTCCTTTGCTTGAACTCTGCCCCTTGTCCTGCCCCATCTTCAACTGCCCACATTACTGAGATGTCCTGCTTGAGTTCCCTGTAAGCTCTTCAGTGCTTGCCAGAGTATCACATACTAGAACATCCCATAGAAGAGCATCCCATACTAGAGCATCCCAGACTAGAACATCC